CTACAAGGGACTGGCAACAAAATTTCAAAAATCTTAAAACCGGTGGAATTAGAGATATGGATCGCTACAAGGAAGCGAGACGGGTATTAATGGAAAATCCACAAGTGGATACGTTATTCGGGCACAGTATGGGAGGTAGTGTTGTTTTGGTTTTAAATGAAGAATTCAAGGATAAAAATTGTAAAACGAGGACTTATAATGCTCCTGTAATAAGTCTCTTTGCTCCTATGTTCGGTTTGGATCAACCGGCGGAACAGCACAAACAAGCGGTTTAGAATGACAGGTGATCTCGTCAGCGGTTTAGAAAACGGGGCTATAAGTTATGACACAAAAACTTTAAACCCTATATCAAGTCATGATATTGACCAATTAGAAGGCATTGATGAAAGAATACGAATATTAGGCATGTATTAAATTATCAAAAACAATATGATATAATGCTTAACAAGGTCAGGAAATCAAAAGAACAAACAAGGGTAGGAAAAATCCCTGAGAACATTCATTACTACTACTACTACTACTACTACTACTACTACTACTAATACTAATACTAATACTAATACTAATACTAATACAAATACTAATACTAGTACTAATACTAATACTAATACGAATACGAACACTAACACTAATACTAATACTAATACTAATACTAGTACTAGTACTAATACTAATACTAATACTAATACTAATACGAATACTAATACTATTACTGCTGCTGCGACTGTTTAAGATGTGCTTTTGTATAAGTCACGCTCATTCATTGTTTTTGCGGCTACGTCAGTTTTTTTGGGGAAAGTTTTGCTTCAGTTGCTGGTGGTTCTTTTTTGCGCACTGTGTCACCTCCACTGGGCACTCGCTCGCAGAAAGCAGAAAGAATGAACTTTTCTCGAATCTAGCATTGCAGAAAGCCTGCAGCTTTGCTACAATGCTTATCGGATGCATTTGCAGCGGAAGAAGTGGATGGTAGTGTGATTGGAGCGGTGGGAGGCGCTGATGCATGACCACGCAGTCGACCAGCGGCTTGGAAGCAGATCCCATTGCCGTCCTCCGATCTGGACTTTCGCGTCATGACTACAGCTGCTGCGCTGAAATCCATAGCCGCGCACTGCCTTGTGCAGACGAGATTCTGAGCTGGTTCGTGACTCTAGCCTTTCCTTTTACTGCGATGCAGTACGGTCCCCTTCTGTCACTCTTGGAGAGTTGCAGACATCATGATCGAGTGGACGAGCTCATTGATGTTTACCAAAAGCAGAGGTTCTCGCTCACCGAGGTCGTGACTGGAAACGAGTTGACATGTTATGGGATCTCTTGGTAAACAAGCTCCACGTGCGTCCGCATTTGTTTTGTTACGCATCTCGGAGCAAAGCGCCGGTTGCAGCTGCAAAGTGCATAAAGGACATTGGTTTAGTGGACGCTCCGCGCACAGGGGCGATGCACCTTCAACCACTGCTGGGCATATACCACCCGCATCCTGAAGCAGCGGACAAGAAGCGGCTGACAAGGTGTTTGGTCCGTGCAGAGATGTCGATATGAGTGAAGCCGGCAGAGGGCTCACGTCCACGCTGAAACGCTTGATCAAACTGACTATAAGATGGTACTGACGAACGTGTCGTCTGTGACCTTGGCCGATTTCCTTGTCCTAGACCATAAACAACAGAGTGTGATGCATGATTGGACTGGGTGTCAAGCTGGATGCAAGTATCTACCGAAAGAGAAACGCTGATCCACCAGACGTCGCGAGAGTTTCACAACTGTGACAGAAAGTTGGGTGTTTAGGCAAGGTTGATTTTTCCAGTTGTGCTCATTTGGAGCCGGTTCTGCCTTTGCAGGCTTTCCGAGCTTCTTTCTTGCATACATTTGCACTACACCAGGCAGAGGCGGCTTCGGACAGACAAGGTTGAAGAACTATGCCCCAGTCAACCATGTCGGCCAACTCTTCCGCGTGGTGGCCGTCAGCTGAACCTCCTGAAGGTTGTGATTTTCCGGTGGCATCAACCTTGTCAAAGCCGGGGTGAAGATAGCTGCCTTGTTCAAGCATTGTGGCGTTTCAACATTTTTTGGGCATCCGTAGCAACGAGGAGAAGATCCCCACAAGGCTGAGAGGAGTATCGGCCTTGCTGATGCAAGCAAAGGTTGGCCCTGCAAAGACCTCGTTTCGGGACTCTGTGGTCAGTGATGTGAGGCTCATCAATACAAAGAACCCGCGGATATTGCGTATCAAGTTGAAGGCTGCAGACCTCTCGCAAGCCGCAGCCCATGAGTGCCAAACCGTGCATTTCCAGACAGGGTCCAAGCCTGGATCCCTAAAGCCCCAAGGCCCCCCTGTGGATGAGTTGGATTCCGCCAAGGCAAAAGAGAGAGTCAAACCCATTGAATCGAGACACCGCTGAACTTTTTCGCGGGATGAGTTGTTCCTACACTTCATGTCTTTGGATCCCTTCATGTAGAGATGCCTTATTTTGGAAAAAAGACTTCGAGATATCATCCTGGCCCAGTGGCTGTCACAAATTGTTGAACAGGAACCATGTCCATCTGATAGGCACATTGGCCGCTTCCACAAATAAGCGCACCTTCTTCGGCAGCTGCGGCGGCGGATCACCGACTTCTTTTTCAAGTGGAGGTCCAGCATTGTCTCGACCATTGTCTCCCGCCGTTCGATCAGCATCGCGTGCTTTCCAAGGCGCACCCACTGCGTTGACCGCTGCCTGCCCCTCATCGTGCTCGTGGGCTCCTCGGAAGTCTGCACCAATCTGTAGAACTTCTTCACGTCGCGGAATGCCACATAGGTCCTTTGTTTCAAACGACCCTTACTCGTGCTGCCTGTTTTGCTGTGCGTCCGCACCCGTGACACGTAGCTCTTGTCCTCCAGGTAGATCTCCTCCAGCGTCTTGGTCTCCTTGTACTTGCGCACCGTCATCACCGAGCGACTGTCCAATTTCAACATTCTCCTTGTCTGATTTCTTGTCCGGCCCCTGTGTCCGCCCGCAGAGTCCTCTGCCATCAGCTGCTCCTGGAACTTGGCCAGCTCGAAGCTCTGACTGAACAGCGGCGGGCTGAACCTGACGAGGTGGCATGGCTCTTTTCTTTGTTCGGGGCTGGTTCGTTCATGGCCTTCTTGATCTGGAGTGGCTTCATTGAACTCGCCAGTCGCCTTCTCAAGGGCGTCAATGTCGTAGTCTTTGGGGTGAAGCACTTGCTTAAACGCTCCTGCGTGTTCGAGTAGGTTTGTCTGACTAGTTTATTTTTCTTTGCCCATTGAGATAAGCCCGCTCTGCTCTGACTTGGCGGCATTCATGCAAAGCAAAGCGAAAAGCAGCAGGTGACCCCGACGCGTGTCAATCATCGCGACCTCATTGCCGAGAAACTTAAAGTACCACCTATCACTATTCATATCCAGGACAGCCCAAGAAGCACCGCGCCCCTAGGAGCACAGCAGCCTTAATGCACAGAATCTTCTTCGCTTTGCGCACAAGAAACCTTGCAACCTCCTCACTAACTAGGGAGCCGTCATTGCCAAACCTAAAGCTACTAGCTCTCCTAATTCCAAACCCCTGAGAGGCAAGGACGTCAGCAATGTGCCCTAGGATGTACGGTCCCACAAAAAATTCTGGCCTACCGTTCAGGTTTCTGCGATGAGCACCTCATGTTCTTGATCGCAGTGTCTTTGGTTTCGGTTTGCCAGCACGGGGCCATCTTGCTTCCCATCCTCATGTGCCACTGTGAACTTTCCCTTGTTTTCTTCAATCTCGCGCGGTAAGCACTGCCGGTTCCCGGTCGGGTGTCGGCGAAGCCCGCGTTGCCAGTGTCCTCGGAAGGCTTCCAGGCCACCTTCTTCGGAAAGGCGCACAAGTATCCCCTCGGCCTCATCGTGTTCCACATCCGTTCCCGCTTCGGCCAGATGCGTCCCGCTCGTTGTCCTGCCCGTGGTGCTCTCGGCAGTCTTTCAAGAACTAGACCCAGTGGGCGAAGCCGCCCTTGCCAATCAGAGGACATTCCTTCTGCAGTCTCCATATCGTCTACGATACGATGATGGTACTTCGTCCTTTACTTGTCACCGTTCGAGCCTCCATCTCGGAGCTTCTTCCCCAGCCTCCAGCATGTCTTCGTCGCTCACACCATCTTGCCCCTGCAGGTCAACCACGGCTTCGAAAGCGGCTTCGAATGCATCCTGTAGCTCGTACGCCTCGTTCAAGTCCCTGGCCTCGAGGTTCGCTGCAAACACGTCCTTGGCCTTGTCCCCCGCTCCGCTGAGTCGCGGGGAACACGGCCTTCAGAGCTGCGACGATCCCCTAGATCTATCAGGTATACCGATCTGGATAGATCTTTTTGCGTGCAGCTGTTGGACGATAAAGGCAGAGTGATGGACATGCTGGTTGATATATTGACACCCTATTGGTTTTGGGGCTGTTCCAAGCATGTTGAAAGCCTGTGCAGATGGTGGTTTTGTGCCACAATGGACCTTCCGTTCTGTAGGATATCAAGTCGAGGGAAGGAAATCATGCAATCATAAATTCTATTTGCGGGTGACAGCAAACGAAAAGCCGATACCCATGAGCTCCGGAACATGTTTCTGTGGTATCCCCTCGCTTCATTGCCCTTGCAAATGTGCATCTGATTTAATGACTCGGTTTAACCACCGGGTGTCGTGCCATTCACATGTATGATGGTGCATCCATGCAGCTGCGTTTCAGCTGCGAGTATGCATGGTCAAAACATGGGAGCATCAGACTGCAGTGACCCTTTGACCATTCCCAGCAAGATGTGGTTCGCAAATGTGTTAAGTTTAAGTACTTGGACAACAGCCAGCAGCACAACTCCCATTAGCACAAGCGTTTCTAGGTGCAGCGGTTGCTCATGTGCCGTTTTTGGCTCCTTGAGGATAAGGTGCTGCAGTGTGTGCAACCCAGATGATGGAAACACTGTGGTACTTCTCAATCGTCCCACGCTTTGCGCATTTGATGTTTGCATGTGATCATGTGATCATGTTGTTCAGGACAATGGCAGGCGATGAAGGCATGTCCGAACAGGAGAGTATGGCGTGTCGATGGCTGGACGTGCATCCGATATTGCATGCCCCCTTGCATGTCCCACTCATGCAGGAGAAGCAGTTGCGCGATTGTTTTGCAAAATTTGACAGCAATGGAGATGGCAAAATCCAGGCGACAATTTTGCGCGGTTTGGTTTTGAACAGTCGCCATCATGCAGCTTTCTGCCAGGCGGATGAGTTCAAAAAACTGATGTCAAGTCTCGGTGGTTTCAGCCCCAAGGACCTGCACAGTGAACCGTGTGAAGCACGGTTCAAAAACAGCGGCATGGGCAGATTTGGCGAGGAGATAAAGCGTCTCTTCAAAGAAGCTGACACAGATTGCTCAAATAGTGCGATCCTCTTGCTTCGATCATCTTCATCATTTCGTTTGAGTGACATTGTAGTGTTGTTTTTCTTCAACAGTGTTGGAAGTTGAGGTGTGGACTGGAGAGAATTTCTGTCGTGGATTCTGAACGGTACGGCTCTCAAAGGACGGGCGCTGAGTTTTCGCGAAGAAGAATTTATGAGCATAGGGGTGCTTTCAAGTGCATTGTTGGATGCCATTGATCTGGCCGAGATTTCAGGAATGGGTGCAAAAGGGGCTGCTTCCTTTGAACGGCCAGGAGCTGAGTGCCGTAGAAGTGCTTCAGCTTGTTTAGCCACGTTGGCGCCTTTTGCGGTTTTGTGGTGCTTTCATGTTATGAAGCGGCCTCGTCATTTCACTGTGTCGTTCATGAGTCAGAGCAGCCGAATCAACTTCGAGACATGATGGGCCGGGAGATCCTTTACATGCAGAGGCTCCTGAACACGGAGACGCAGGATGAGGCGAGCTTTGTGGAATCAGCATGGGTCCTCAGCATCCAGTCATGACGCTGCCGCATCTTCTGTTGCCAATAAGCTGAGGCTCAGATGGGTCACAACGTGACCGAATACCTTCGACAATCTGGGTCGAAAGACAAGAAGTCGCGACAGCGGAAACGAACTGCTGTGAAGGTTGCGGTCCCGGTCTTTCTGGCTGCTGTGGAGACCGACTGATTTCACAGTGGATTCAGTAGACACTGCTCGCATTTGCTGAGGCAGGCTGTGACGATCTGGGAGTTCCATCCGACTGGGTTGGACACAGGCCATTTTGCTACAGGTCTCGTAGTTAAGAAATGTCAAGATTGCTTGCTCCTGTTTGCTCCTATGAGGATCCAGCTGCCAATGACGCCCGATGGTGCACGGCAGCTGTTGGGCCGATCTCTATGCTTTCTTTTGAACTCCTGTTGAAGTTCGTTCGGAGTTGTTTCGCAGATGGAGAATGTTGGGCATGTGGTTTTGTGACCAAGATCACTTTCTGCATTCTGGTGCGAAGAGTCCTCTCCACGCCAAGTGGCCAACTCAGACTTAAACAGGCCGTTGGCCAGTTGGCCATGTTGGCCATTTGCGGCGGGGCCCGTGAGTGGGGATTTCTAACTGTCGAAGGCACGTCACGCACCTCATCACCCAGTTCGTGTCGGCTTATTCAGTACGACATCCCAAGCCTGTGGTGTACACAGACGTCCCGCAGCCAGACGGGAGGCCTTAGTCGTTGAGCATGCAACTCTGCTGGTTAGCTTCAATCAAATTGCTGGCAGGTTAGTAATTGTCGGTGACACGCATGGTCAGCTTGCGGATGTCCGCATCTGAGGGTGCTGCAAGTGAACCTGTAGTCGCTGTAGCCGCTGCATGGCAGACTGAAAGTCATTTTCAACAAGTCGCGCCGGTGTCAACCGGATGTTTAGGCTCACAGTACTCTATTCAGTTCTGGATATCAACCTGTCTAAATGGCTCGGATCAACCTTTTGTGTAGGGACGTGCACTTCAGCAGGGCTCTTCTATGATCGAGGCACATGTGAGCAGTATGGCAAGCCTCTGGAAGGACTGAGTGGGTCCAGATGTCTGAGTGGGATATGGTGCTGGTACCCGAATCATCGCAACTCCGAACGCTCATTGTTGGCATGAGAACAGAGAAGCTGGATGGTTTCCCACCCATTTGTCCTTCTTCAGTCCTGGGCAGAGCGGGGGCACTGATGCTGCGGTTGTGGGGGAGGCTGATTCTGGGGTGAGGCAGGTTTGCTGAGCAAGGTTTTGGGATGCTGTGGGTAAGGAAGCACCACGACAGCAACAAGCAACAAACTCAGTTGCAGGTGGGGTCAGAATGCGAGCGAAGACCAGCATTCGGCCCAAATTGCTGAATGGGGGTGCGAATCAGCGTCATTGCAAGCTCAGCAAGTAAAAGCCACATGTAGTGAGGCCGAACTAAGTTTGAGCCTCCAACGGGGTCGTGACTAGGAAGGACCCGAGAGGCTGAATTTTAAGTGAGTATTTGCGCACCTTGCCTGCCCGTCTCTCTCACGCTCTCGCTCCTATCTCCTCTCTCTCTTTCTTTACCTCTCCCTTGCTCTCTTTCTCTCTTTCTCTCTTTCTCTCTTTCTCTCTTTCTCTCTTTCTCTCTTTCTCTCTTTCTCTCTTTCTCTCTTTCTCTCTTTCTCTCTTTCTCTCTTTCTCTCTTTCTATCTTTCTCTCTTTCTCTCTTTCTCTCTTTCTCTCTTTCTCTCTTTCTCTCTTTCTCTCTTTCTCTCTTTCTCTCTTTCTCTCTTTCTCTCTTTCTCTCTTTCTCTCTTTCTCTCTTTCTCTCTTTCTCTCTTTCCCTCTTTCTCTCTCCCCCTCCTCCCCCTCTCCTCCCCCTCTCCCCCACTCTCCCCCTCTTCTCCCCCTCCTCTCCCCATCCTCTCCCCCTCCTCTCCCCCTCCTCTCCCTCTCCACTCCTTGCCTGGCCCCATCGTGCACAAGCACCCGGACCAAGTCGTGCTTCTCGTCGGACTTCAGCCTTCAAAGAGCTTCAGGTGCTGCATATTCTGTATCATCTCGGTCCACCAAGCGCTCAGAACAGGTTGAGCTTGCCTTTGCGATGTTGCCGTGTCTGCTGTGGCATGCCCCGGGCTTTGCCGGCTTTGGCGACAGGTATTTGTTCAATGGCGACATGGTTGACCGTGGGAGCCAGGCAAGGACTGCATGGCGGCGCCGAGTCATCTGTCCCATGTTGAGTCTGCTAGGGTGTCGAAATCCTCCTGATTCTTTTTGCCTTCTTCCTGGCAGACCCAGAGCAGCAGCCTCTGCAGAGCCGATTAAGCAAAAGCAGGTTGATAGCAACGGCTGCCCAAGATTGAATGGTTGCAGGTCGATCATTGTGCATCGTGGCAATCACGAGAATGAGGCTCGGGCGGCTAGGAGCAGTTCTGGCAAACTAGAGCGCCTGGCCTGCTGGATCGAAGGACATGAATGCCCTGCATGCTGACAACGGTGGAGGATTTGAAGATGAGGCCTCTCATTTGCAGTGCAGCTGGGCATTTTTCATTTCGAGCGTCAGGTGATGGAGAAGTATGGCCTTTCCGTGTCTGCAGCCCAGCCCGGGTGTTTGGACGATGTGCTCGTGGAATTCTTTCTCTCCAGGTACCGGCATTTCGTCAGTGCCTTCAAGGTCATGTCGCTGGCGTCCGTCATTAACAAGGCTCTCTTCCCTACAATTTGTGTTTTGTTCACCATGATTGATGTGTTCTTCTTGTATAATAGCGCGACAGTTCTCAGGAGATCTTCGTCGTTCACGGTGGGCTGACTCGGGCCAGAACCACAGGATGTGACTACTCTACTGCCTCGTGGACATTTCATGTGTGACTGTGTGACTTAGGTGAAGAACCTCACCATCGACTACATTAACACGCTGCCTTTTCAGGACCCCAAGCGCTGCATCTGGCGTAGGAATGCCCAGCAAACATAGGCACCGCCTGACGATCCACAGTGTCTCACAAGAAGCACCATGACCGGACATCCAAGTCCCAGATCGAGCCAGCCTTTCCCAACCTGTCAGGACTACACAGCCCCGCATCCGATGTCCAGCAACGTTAAGGAGACCTCCGTGCGAATCTTTCGCAGGCAGAAGAATCGTTAAATTGAAGGACGGCTTATTCTGTCTCCGTGCATCTCCATGCAATTGTGGTGTTTTCATTTTGGCTCGTTTGCTCCTTCAGGTGGCCTTGGTTGCTGGGCTTGCGGGCGTTGGCATTGACGGTACGAGGGTTCAGGGTCCATAGAAGCCCTAAACCGACCCAAACCCTAAAGCCCCAGACCACCCAAGACCCCACCAAAAAGAAAAGAAAGAATAGCAGATCGAATGGCAGGGAATGCCCAGAACAGTTCCCCACCACTATGACATACTATTCAGGAGCAACTTTTCTCTGACCTGCTGTGGAGCGATCCCACCGAGCACGAAGGGAAATACAAGCTGCTCGACCAACTTAGTTCGTTGCTTTTGCAGGCGTTTGTGCAATGAAGCGAGTCCTTGGTGACTGTGCAAATCTGTGCCATATCGGCTGGAATGTGGTGAAGCTTGCTCCGTTTACTCGAACAGTGTCGTGATTATCCTTAGCTGTATAAGTCATGCCAGGGTACCCAGGCCATCACTCGAGTAACGCTTGTGGCCGGTATGGCCAAACATACTTTCCGAGAACAGAGGCATGTTGTCCAAGCACTGTCAGGGGCCGCAGGGAAATTCGGTCGTGCTCAGGCCCTGGTGTCCTCAGATCACCCTGTCGAAATAATGAATTCCTGAATTCTGAGTCCACTTCAAGCTGCAGTTGATATCGGCCTCAGTGAAGGGGGTGCACCTCCTTGTGCGGGTGCTCGAGATATGCGTGCACGATTCGGCATGTCGGCTCATGTCACGAAATGGTCGATCTATGCAATATGTGCCAATGCCGCTATTCTGGGCCTCATGGGGATGCTCGAAAAGTGCTGGCGTTTTGATATGCCTGCCATCAACAATCTGCCATCAAGTTGCGTGGCGAACATATCGAGATCTTTGTTCTTAGCTGTGTCCGGACATCTTCTTGTGGGATGTCTTCCTGCAAGGGCTGTGCAAGATCAACAGTTGGCTGCAGAGCCTCGGCAGAGCCGTCGAAGTCCAAACATGGACACTTTGGGCACCAGCGATGGCTACACGCACCGCGATGACGTATCATCTGCTCAGGTCAGCTTGCAAACAATTGAGATTCAAAACAATCCTTTCACATTGCAACTTACCGTGCACAACAAAACTATCCTGGTAGATGGGATATCCAATTAGGCTAGCAATCACACAGTGGTCGCACATGTTGCAGTGGGCCTTGCACCGTAGTGCCCACGAGAAGGTTTTTCAAGGTCGTTGAGGTTAGAGTGCTTTTTGACTTCCAAGAATCCAAGAATCCAGCTTCTAGGAGTGTCCGGCGCAGCTGGCATCCATGTGTCTGTGTGCATTTTCCACAGATGCATTTACGTATTGAGCAGTTGCAGTCCTGCCTTGTTGCTTGGTCGGACGCCTTGGCAGGTCAGATCGTGGTGTTGGAATTAAATACGGCCCGGATGTGACGACGAAGTTCTGCAGTCAGAACCGGCTGAGGCAGGCTACAGTGTCATTGCTTTCGCAGTCTCTCGTGACTCATCTTTGCATCCAGGTTCTTGGTGAGAAGTCATCAAGTGCCAGAAGATGGGTGCGCGGGCATTGGGAAAGTAGCATAAGCAGGATGGTCTGTCAGATAGGGTTTGCAACGTCAAATCTTGCACCAACTTGAGGCGTGGATTCCAAAAGCAGCACAACGACCGCTGTGTCACTGTCTTCAGTGCCAGCAACTACTGTGGCGATGGAGGGTGGGGTCGCCTAGAACAGTGGCCTTTGAACAAGTTTTAATATTTGTCTGTTTGACTCCATGCTGGAAAAGATTCTCGCGGTGATTCCTTCTTCGGATTCTTACTCCTTTGTCTTGCGCTCTGAGGAACTTTGGAGCGGTGATCGTGCTCTCCGCCGCCAACTTCCCACGGTACGAGGTCTTTGAGCCCGGGCCTTGCGGCCTTGCGGCAGTCTCCCTCAGCACAGATGTACATAACGTCCTGGTTCGCGGTTCCCCTGTCCCCCCCCCCCTGCCATGGTATGCCGCCCCCTCCCCCCCCCCCCCTTCCCCCCCAAAACTCCAAACAGGCCAAAACCTTGAACCCTTAACTCTAAACCTCTAACCCTAAACCCTAAACCCCAACCCTCCAACCGCACCACACGGAGGGGGGGGGGACCCCAAACCCTACGCCTTAAACAACACATAAACCTACGAACCGTGTGACAACTCAAAAACCCTAAAACCCTAAAACCCAAACCTCAAACCCTAACACCTCCCCAAGCACACCAAAGGGGGAGAGGGATCAAACCACCATGAAGGGGGGGCCGGGCGCGCCCTGATCGCATATATATATATATATAGAGATAGATATATAGATATATAGATATATAGATATATAGATATAAAGATATATAGATATATAGATATATAGATATATTGATATATAGATATATAGATATATAGATATATAGATATATAGATATACCGATATATCGACCTATAGATCTATAGATCTATAGATAGATATCTAGATATCTAGATCTCTATATATCAAGATATCTATATATCTATATATATCTAGGTAGCCCCCCCCAAAGATCCACCCTTTTTCCTTTTTTTTTCCCTCTGGTGATGTGCTGTTGGTGTGTTGTTGACAAACACGTGATAATAAACGACACACGACACCATTACCTCAATTTACTTGACCGAGGCCGCGCGAATTTAAACCGCATGTAAAAATTTAAGTTAAATGCGGACACGACCCTGTGAGATTTAAAGCTGCATTTAAAACTTTAAGTTAAATGCAGACCACAGAACTCTTGATTTTGGAATCTTGCTTCCTGGGGCTGGTCTGCATTTAATGCAGTTTTAAATGCAGCCCAGCCCCAGGAACCAAGATTCCAGAATCAAGAGTTCTGAGCATCTTGGTTCTTGGTTCTTGGTTCCTGGGGGTGGTCTGCATTTAACTCAAATTTTTAAATGCAGTTTTAAATGCAGCCCAGCCCCAGGAACCAAGTTTCCAGAATCAAGAGTTCTGAGCATCTTGGTTCTTGGTTCTTGGTTCCTGGGGGTGGTCTGCACTTAACTTAAGTTTTTAAATGCAGGTTTAAATGCAGCCCAGCCCCAGGAACCAAGATTCCAGAATCAAGACTTCTGAGCATCTTGGTTCTTGGTTCTTGGTTCCTGGGGGTGGTCTGCATTTAACTTAAATTTTTAATGCAGTTTTAAATGCAGCCCAGCCCCAGGAACCAAGATTCCAGAATCAAGAGTTCTGAGCATCTTGGTTCTTGGTTCTTGGTTCCTGGGGGTGGTCTGCATTTAACTCAAATTTTTAAATGCAGTTTTGAATGCTACCAAGATTCCAGAATCAAGGGTTCTGAGCATCTTGGTTCTTGGTTCTTGGTTCCTGGGGGTGGTCTGCATTGAACTTAAATTTCTAAATGCAGTTTTAAATGCAGCCCAGCCCCAGGAACCAAGATTCCAGAATCAAGAGTTCTGAGCATCTTGGTTCTTGGTTCTTGGTTCCTGGGGGTGGTCTGCGTTTAACTCAAATTTTTAAATGCAGTTTTAAATGCAGCCCAGCCCCAGGAACCAAGATTACAGAATCAAGGGTTCTGAGCATCTTGGTTCTTGGTTCTTGGTTCCTGGGTGGTCTGCATGCAAACTTAAAATTTTAAAATGCAGTTTTAAATGCAGCCCAGCCCCAGGAACCAAGATTCCAGAATCAAGGGTTCTGAGCATCTTGGCTATTGGTTCTTGGTTCCTGGGGGTGGTCTGCATTTAACTTAAAATTTTTAAATGCAGCTTTAAATGCAGCCCAGCCCCAGGAACCAAGATTCCAGAATCAAGGGTTCTGAGCATCTTGGTTCTTGGTTCTTGGTTCCTGGGGGTGGTCTGCATTTAACTTAAATTTTTAAATGCAGTTTTAAATGCAGCCCAGCCCCAGGAACCAAGATTCCAGAATCAAGGGTTTCTGAGCATCTTGGTTCTTGCTTCTTGGTTGCATTTAACTTAAATTTTTAAATGCAGTTTTACATGCAGCCCCAGGAACCAAGATTCCAGAATCAAGGGTTCTGAGCATCTTGGTTCTTGGTTCTTGGTTCCTGGGGGTGGTCTGCATTTAACTTAAATTTTTAAATGCAGGTTTAAATGCAGCCCAGCCCCAGGAACCAAGATTCCAGAATCAAGGGTTCTGAGCATCTTGGTTCTTGGTTCTTGGTTCCTGGGGCTGGTCTGCATTTAACTTAAATTTTTAAATGCAGCTTTAAATGCAGCCCAGCCCCAGGAACCAAGATTCCAGAATCAAGAGTTCTGAGCATCTTGGTTCTTGGTTCTTGGTTCCTGGGGGTGGTCTGCATTTAACTTAAATTTTTAAATGCAGTTTTAAATGCAGCCCAGCCCCAGGAACCAAGATTCCAGAATCAAGGGTTCTGAGCATCTTGGTTCTTGGTTCTTGGTTCCTGGGGGTGGTCTGCATTTAACTTGAATTTTTCAAAATTTTAAATGCAGCCCAGCCCCAGGAACCAAGATTCCAGAATCAAGGGTTCTGAGCATCTTGGTTCTTGGTTCTTGGTTCCTGGGGGTGGTCTGCGTTTAACTTAAATTTTTAAATGCAGTTTTAAATGCAGCCCAGCCCCAGGAAACCAAGATTCCAGAATCAAGGGTTCTGAGCATCTTGGTTCTTGGTTCTTGGTTCCTGGGGGTGGTCTGCGTTTAACTTAAATTTTTAAATGCAGTTTTAAATGCAGCCCAGCCCCAGGAACCAAGATTCCAGAATCAAGAGTTCTGAGCATCTTGGTTCTTGGTTCTTGGTTCCTGAGGGTGGTCTGCATTGAACTTAAATTTCTAAATGCAGTTTTAAATGCAGCCCAGCCCCAGGAACCAAGATTCCAGAATCAAGAGTTCTGAGCATCTTGGTTCTTGGTTCTTGGTTCCTGGGGGTGGTCTGCGTTTAACTCAAATTTTTAAATGCAGTTTTAAATGCAGCCCAGCCCCAGGAACCAAGATTCCAGAATCAAGAGGTCTGAGCATCTTGGTTCTTGGTTCTTGGTTCCTGGGGGTGGTCTGCATTTAACTTAAATTGTTAAATGCAGTTTTAAATGCAGCCCAGCCCCAGGAACCAAGATTCCAGAATCAAGAGTTCTGAGCATCTTGGTTCTTGGTTCTTGGTTCTTGGTCTGGGGTCCGCCCGCATCTAACGTAGATTTCTAAATGCAAGCTTAAATGCAGGAACACCCTAAGCCCACCATCTACAACAATCCGTACTAAAATCTGGGAGTCGCGGACTCATTCCCTCTCCATACTCCGCGCCCTCCCCTTCCCTCAGCTCCACTGCGGGCGTATTCTCCAAAACCTATTGGTTTAAGGGTTTACCCCGAAACCCTTCTGGGTTTAGCAATTAAACCCAAACCCATAACTTTTAAACCCTATATGGTTAAGTTTAAAATGTTTGGGGTTTAAGATTTAGGCATTTGCACATAAGTCGGCAATTAAACCTAAACCTTTAAGCTTTGAACCCTATAGGTTTAATGGTTAAAGGTTTAGGGTTTAAGATTTATAAGCATTACAACCTAAGCCCATAAAGTCCAAACCATAGGGTTTAAGGTTGAGGCATTTAAACCGTTTGGGGGTTGAATCCTAAAGCCCGATAGGGCCCAAAAAGGCTCAAAGGTTTTTAACCCTATAGGCGCTGAAGGTCTACATGCCCAGACCTTAGGTTTGTAAACCATTAAAGCCTACAAGGGTTAAAGGTTTTGAGTTTTTTGCAGTGTTTATCTCTAAAACTGTCACGGAGTTAGCACTATAGGGTTTAAACTCTATGGGCTTAAGGTTTAGGCAGTACCAAGGAGTAGAACCTTATAACCCTGTGATCTAGGCACTTAAACCTAAGCCCATTTAGGTTTAAGGTTGAGCTTTTAGGGCCCAAAAAAGGCTCAAAGGTTTTCACCCCATAGGAGCTGAAGGTACACATGCCCAGACCTTAGGTTTGTAAACCATTAGACCCTATAACGTTGAAAGGTTTCGGGCCTTTTCAGGGATATCTCTAAAACCGTCTATAGGGTTTGGACCCTATAGGGTTTAGACCCTATAGGGTTTACAGGTTTCGGGTTTAGTGCATTTAGGCATTGTCTATAGGAGTAGAACCTTATAACCCTGAAGGGCTTGAGACTTAAATCCCTAAACCTCAAATCCCGTAGGGTTGTGCCTATGTTTGCAGGACTTGCCTCCTGTGAAAATCCAAAGAGAAAGTAGAAGAAGTACCCACATCATGTATGTATATAGGGTACAAGCATTGTATATCAAACACATATAATAACGAAGGCATAAGGTGATGCAAAAACATCATCTGCTGTAAGTGCCCGGGACGCGAGAATACTGTGAGCAAATGTCTTTTCACTATTCCCTGAGACCGCCAGAAGTTTTTTAGATACTTTACGGTCGCATTCTTGTTTTTCAGGGTGCTTCAGGTGGTTGTGTGCTGTTACATCTTAATATAGCGACGGTTTAGGGTGGTTTTGAGTGAAAGACTAGTGACAGGGGTACGCCATAAGGTTTTGTTTAGATACTTTACTGATATATTTGTGTTTTTCAGGATGTTTCAGGTGGTTGTACGTCTCGTCAAGAGAAACGAGAAAACGCTACGGGAACTGCGTTGCCTATTGCAAGTCTCTAAAACGGTGGATCTTTGAGGGGGGGGTAGCATATCTATATATCTATATATCTATATATCTATATATCTATATATCTATATATCTATATAACTAAAAATCTTTATATATATATACATATATTTATATATCTATGTATCTATATATCTATATATCTATATATCTATATATCTATATATCTATATATCTATATATCTATATATCTATATATCTATATACTTTTTTCTCTATATATCTATATATCTATAAATCTTTATATCTATATATTTTTTGATATATATCTATATAGATATATACATATATATCTATAAACCTATATATCTATATATCTACAAAAAAAAAATATATATATATATATGAGAGGGACCTTTAGGGTCTATTTTGCGTCGTAGCTGTTGCTAGTACTATGAATAATAATTAAACTAATTCAAATAATTTAATTAATTAAATTCAA